AGAAGAGTAAAAGAGAAGGAACTTTTGGTGTCTGAGCATGCTCACTCGTTTTTCTGTAGAAATGAATGGTGGTTCCTTTTTCCATTGACACCACTTCTGCTGTGAAAGGTTTCCTAGGAACACTGTACTTTCAAGTTGAGGTGGAGCCTGCACCCCATCCTGCACGGTTAGCTTTTGTCTCCATGCTGCACAGAACATTCCATGACTTGCAGATTTTATCACTCAAACATGGCACCTTGGACTACCTTCACCTGTTTCCCCCCACCATCCCCGAATCTGGCAACCACCCATCTGTTCTCATTATCTATGTGTTCAGTATTTTTTCCCCATGTGGAATGTCCATGAGAGCCTCTGGTGTGCGTCTTTCTGTGTCTGAGTGACTTAGCATAATGCTCCCAAGGTCGATGTTTCCATGTCTGGTTATTGTGAATAATGCTGCTGTGAACACGGGAGTGCATCTCTCTTTTGCAGGGAGTCTTTTCTTTTCTTTCTCTCTCTCCTTCCTTTCTTCCTTCCTTATCTTCTTTCTTTCTCTTCTTTCCCTTCCTCGCTTCCTTTTTTCCTTCCTTTCCTCCTTGCTTCCTCCTTTTTGCTCTTACAGTTTACTTGTTGGGAAAATATTTTTTCTGTCAGAATATATGCAGTGTGGACTTCATTGGTGACCTCTTCATACTCTTTGTTGGGACTTCTCTCTGACAACTCTGTTTTGGTAAAAGAGTAGCTAGATCTATGGCTTTCAACAGGTTGAACATTTGGGCAGACCTCCCAAGTAGTATTCTCTTCTACAGTCAGACACCAGATTGTGTCTGCTTGTCTTCTTTTGTGTTCTCAGTTGCGATGATGGTTATCTCTTTCCTTTTCTGTGGTAGGTTTATTAAAGTGAATTTAATTTTTCCTAAAAGTGTGGATTCTAAATAATCCTTCTTTTATAGTATATATTTATCTAAATCAGCATGTTTAAAAAATGGATTAGAAGCAAACGTTGAAGCAGGACATCAATACTATTAATTCCCATTCAGAGTTAATAATTCTATCAGAGCTAAGTTGAAATATCCTTTTAATATACAAATGAATTAACTTTGCCAAAAGTACTATGATTATCAGTTTCCGAGCTTTCTGTATTGTTCCTTTGACCTGTGTGTCTGTCTGTATGCCAGTCCCATGCTGTTTTGATGACAACGGCTTTGTAATCTAGCTTGAAATCAGAGTCTGGTGACTTCAGCTCGCTTAGTCACTTGTTTGTTTTCTTTCTTTCCATCAGTGAGATTATTTATTTTTTCACTTACTTTACATTTGTATTCTAAATGTTTTTCTTTCACTTTTTTTTATTATGATCATATAATGTGTTATTTGTTTCAGGGGTACAGGTGAGAATCTTCTGTTTTACACAGCCCACAGTGCTCACCACAGCACATACCCTCCCCATGCCCATCGCCAGCCACCGCGTTCCCCCATCTTCCCCCCTTCAGAAACCCTCAGTTTGTTTCCGGAGATGAAGTGTCTCTTATGCCTTGACTCCCTCTCTGACTTCATCTTGCTTCCTCTT